TTCCGACTTAAATACAAAGTTAAAGACAATGAACAGAACTTCTTCTTAATCTGGGGGTGCTTATATATAAACAGGGAGCAAATCACATATTCACTCTGATGACGTTAAACTGGTAATGAAATGACTGCAAACAAACCACCAAGCTCAGACAGTACCAAGGATTTCATAACACATTTTATTAAAAGGCTTAAGCTTTCATGGATGCATGGAGAGACTAAACTGACATAGAATTTAAATTAGGATAAGACGGGTCAGAAGGGAGGGGGAAGACAGGGTGGTTAGGCAGGTGCAAATTATATATGAGACAGATTACAAGCACCATATCAATTAACAATTGTAATACATTAAAATCCTATAGCATTTGTTAGCTAGCCTGAAACTTTTAACTGTATGAGTTGAGCAATCTCACTCGTTTCTTATTCCTCCCCCTCCCAAAATATGGCTATTTTGAAATCTGTAATGGAGTGTCCTGCCAGGTTCAAATGCTCCAAGATTACTTTGCCATTTCTTTCTAAGTCCTGGTATCAAACTTGCATCCATTAATTCTTTTTGCAAAGTTTGGCCTGTTTGGCCTACATAAAATCCAGAGATAATATCATCTATTACATTATGTGCCTCTGATGTGTATGAAGTTGGTGGGGCCTGATGGTGCTGTTGATGTAAATGTGGGGAGTTGGTTGGGATTATCCACTTCCTTAGCATCATAACCCTGTTATTTCTTGTCATCTACTTCATATTGAATGGTTTTCTATAGTCAAGTATAGACCTGCCACCCAGTGCCTTAAAAAATGCAATATCCAATATAGGCTACTATTTATTGTGTGAGTGGCTTGAACTGCACATAACCAGTAATGATGTGTTTTTGTGGTATTTTAATACATCCTCCCTTTTCTGGCTATCTTGTCTACTGAATTTAGGTGGGTTTATAGAATGTCTACTTTAATTCATCACTGCAAGTTGGCCAGAACAAATGCAGTTGTAGTGTAGATCCTATAGATCAGGGGTCCCCAACCCGATTCCTGGACTGGCACTGGTCCGTGGCATGCCAGAAATTGGACCACACAAACAAATGAAGACCCCTCCGTGGGATGCAGGCAGATGCAAAACTATGCCCCCACTGGTCCATGGAAAAACCTTTCTCCATAGAACAAGACTCTGGTGCCCAAAAAACTTGGAGGAGCCACTGCTAGATATATTTGATACCATATTCTGGGTGGAAACTGGAAACACGTAGCAGTGATTTGTAGGGTTCCTGAATGCTGTTTTGTGTCTATTGTGTTGTTTTACCATGACATCAAAGTGGACTTTTTTTTTAAAGATGATGGGGTAATTTGATTATTCATTTCCAGAGGTCCAGATGTTTAAATGTCATCAATGAATCTCAAGTGAAAAGAGCAATTCTACTAGGTCAGACATGAAGATGTTCGCAAATTTGGAGCCATGGGCATAATATACCTTCAAATATTGCTGACTGAAAGTATGTTATTGTCAAAGGTGAAGTAGTCAAGTAGCACAAGGGTCCATGACTGGCACCAATCCGTGGCATGCCAGAAACTTGGCCATGCAAACAAGTGAAGCCCTATTCACAGGATGCAGGCAACACACAAAACCACGCCCCCTCCAGTCCACAGAAAAACCACTCCATGGAAATGGTCCCTGGTGCCCAAAAGGTTGAGCGTTGCCGATGTATCAGCATACAGTCATAGTGGCAAGATATGATAGTTTGATGTCCAAATTTGTGGAGAATGTTAGCACAGTGCCTTGACATCTATGGTTAAAATGATGAAATGTCCAATTGATTTTATCTATCTTAGGAAGTATATGGTGTTTTTTATATACCGTATATACTCGAGTATAAGCCGAGTTTTTCAGCCCATTTTTTGTGCTGAAAAAATCCCCCTCGGCTTATACTCGAGTCAGATTCCCCTCTGAAAAAAAAATGGTGTGGAGTCGCTGCCGCCGGAGCGGCCCCAGTCCCGCCGCCTCGGGAAGGGAAAGGCAAAGCGCTTTTTGCCTTTCCCTTCCCGGCTGGGGCTGTTGGGAGTCGCTGCCGCCGGCGCGGCCCCAGTCCCGCGTCGCCTCGGGAAGGGAAAGGCCACGGCTTGGAAGGCCGCCGCTGGAGTGAAGCTGCGCGCAGCCGCTGGGCTAGCATCGGATCGGGCGCGCCGGACGGTTCCGACCGAGCCCCGAGCGTCGTCTTTGGCGCCCGCCCAGCGCCGCGGAGCTCCCTGTACCGGGAGAAGGGGAAGACACCCCCCCCCCCCGGGGCGGGGCAGGGAGAGGAGCTTCTCCCGCCCGCCTCTTTCCGCGCCCACCAGTGTCCCCGCAGGACGACCCCCGCCCCGCAGTCGCCGCCGCTTGAAAGAGACGGGCCGGGGGTGGGTAGAAAGGCGCCGGGCGCCCTTGGAGGAGAAGGTCCCGCGTTCGCCTGTCTGCCCGCGGATGTCAGCGGAGCTTTGCCACTGCTTCGTCCGGGGTCTCTGGGCAAACACGTCCACCCGAGCGGGGCTTGTCGCCTCCGGCACGCAACGAGCGCTGCCCTCGGATTCCCTGTCCGGTTGCCCCCCTTTTGAGGGCGATGGCAGTAAACTGTTCCCGTAGCAGCGGCTGCTCCTCTTTCCCGGCTGGGCTGGTGAACGAGGCTTCGCAGAGTTAAGACTGTATGGACTGTATGAATTCAATCTGGATTGGGATTAAAATGATTCTAGATTTACTAAACCCCAGTTACTTCTTCCTGGCCTGTCCCCTTGTTGGAGCCAACAGTGGTTTATGGTTCACTAAACCTTGGGGTACTTAGTGGGGTGTTCTGCTGAACTGTGACTGAAGTAGGCCAGGTACTTCTGCCCGGAGCACCAAGGAAAGTATCAGGATGCGGCCCAGGACCTGCATTTCAGGGGGCTCCCCTGGCTCTGATTAAAAAGCCAGATCTGAGCTGTGTTCAGACCAGCCTTTGCACCCTCGCCCTCTCTTTGGTGGGAACTACTGGGTTCTCCGAAGAGGGGTGGGGGCTGTTTTTGGCTCTGAATGTTATCACAACTTCATGTGGGTTCTGTCCTCCTTCAGGGCGGTCTGAATCAACCCGCCAGGCCAGAGTTGTAATTTGTTGCCTGGCTTCCCTGCAATCACAACTACCCCACTACTGCAGGGTCAGATGGAGCAGAGACCTCATCAGGCTGGCCTCTCCCCCCCCTCCCCTTCTCAAGAGCCTGGAAGCTCTTCATGTCCTTCATGTGCAGCCTGGAAGAATGAATGACTTCCAAAGCTCTGGACTCCATCAGGCCCCTGGCAGGCGCAAGTCCCAAATGGGGGTCAGGGTGTCCCTTCTCGGGAGGGGCGTGAGATTGCACAAGAAGCAGGAAAGAATCCCAGAACAGCTCCTGCGTAGTCACGTGTTCCCTTTTCCCCACCCTGGTGCTCCTCTGTTTGCTAAAAACAAAACCACCCGGGTGACCCTCCTGCCTTCTGGAGGGCACAGGCAGAGTCCAGAGGGGAGCGCGGCGACCGTCCGGCTGGCAGGTGGGACTGCGAGCATTTGGGGGGGACTTGGCTGCCTCAGGACCCGCATCCCCTGCTCTCCTCGAGGGAAGCGCGTCTTTCGCTCTGTGGCGGAGGAACCAGACGGCAAGGCAACCAGGGGCGCCTCAGGCGTATCAGCGAGAGGGACGAATTCACGGCTTCGGAAGGCCAGACAGGAGCCCCCTCCCCCCCCAGCCCCTCCGGGCAGAGGGGCCGGCCTCCCGGGACCAGCCGCTCCGGCGGAGAGAATTGCTGAGCCGAAGGTGCCCTGCGAAGCCTCGTTCACCAGCCCAGCCGGGAAAGAGGAGCAGCCGCTGCTACGGGAACAGTTTACTGCCATCGCCCTCAAAAGGGGGGCAACCGGACAGGGAATCCGAGGGCAGCGCTCGTTGCGTGCCGGAGGCAACAAGCCCCGCTCGGGTGGACGTGTTTGCCCAGAGACCCCGGACGAAGCAGCGGCAAAGCTCCGCTGACATCCGCGGGCAGACAGGCGAACCCGAATATAAGCCGAGGCACCTAATTTTACACAAAAAAACTGGGAAAACTTATTGACTCGAGTATAAGCCGAGGGTGGGAAATGCAGCAGCTACTGGTAAATTTCAAAAATAAAAATAATTAATTTGGGAAACGATCTCACTATCTCACGTCGCCTCGGGAAGGGAAAGGCAAAGCGCTTTTCGCCTTTCCCTTCCCGGCTGGGGCTGTTGGGAGTCGCTGCCGCCGGCGCGGCCCCAGTCCCGCCGCCTCGGGAAGGGAAAGGCAAAGCGAGTATATACGGTACCTGGTATTGCTAGTGGCATAAAATCTGAATGAAGAGTCCAAGAAACTTGATATCCTAATTGGTAAGGTATGTCATCTCACTCGCATATAATCTGCATAAACAGTCTTTCTCTCCTGTTTCCCTTCTTATCCCAATTTAAATCCTACATCAATTTAGCCACTTCATGCATCCGCTAAGTGGGCTTTCAACAACATTCTTTAAAAAGGTGCTATCAAACTTCTGCTCTGGAGCTACCACACAACAGTCCTACAACATCGTTTATTATTTTGAAATTGCAAGTTGTGCTATTTTTCCAAAGAAGTAAATAATAAGCAGTTCAGTATTTGGATACTCCATCTAGATTGGATAATGGCAGGCCCAGGTAGATGTAAGTAAACAGAGATCATGAACTAAGATAGAGCTCCTGAATGTACCTCTTTCTTAAGACTGGCAGCCTCTTGAGGACTTCCATTCCCATCTTGGTTTATTTAGTAAAAAGTAGCCTCAAGCAAACCTGAAACCAACAAGACTAGACAAGGTATATGTTAGAGAGGAGTCCAACATGCACAAGGTAAATTGATTATCCTGAAAGCACTCCAAGTAGGTCAAGGGAATGAAGGTTGGAGACAGCAGAAAGTGGAAGAAGCAAGCAAGAACGTGTATCTGTATGTTTGCTGTAACCAATAGATTCATTATGCATTAAGACAACCAGAAAAAGTTATTTTAAATTTTTATTTATGAAACATAGCCCCAGGGGCTGACTATTCAGAAAATAGAAACATCTAATTAAAAAAAGCCCCCAGGGTTGAGCTGAGGCAAAAATACCATCTGGGCACATCTTGTAAAGAACCAACATCCCTACATATTGCATAGTGTATCTTTTCAAGAAGATATCCCTCTGAGTTCAGCAGACAATGTGGGATGTACTCAACCTCTTGTTCCACTGTGGGCTCAGAGAAGTGGCTCCGTGAACTCAGGCTACCGGCTTTGTTCTACTGCAAGAGACCAGATGGGGAAAAGAGCAGTCGGTTACTCAGTTATCCTCTGTAGCCAAATTAGCTGAATGCCGCCCCTGTGGTACTGCAGGCTTTCCTGGAGTCCAGTCTCAACTCTCCAAGGCTAGGAGAGGGTTGCTCTATTGGGAGTTTAAAGCTGTCCTCTTGTACAATTCAGCAGGCATTGTCATCAGTGCTTTGCTTCTCCATCAGTTAGGTCTACTTTTGAAGAAGTGTACATGGAAACCTTACCAGTCATTTCCTGCCCTTAACAGCCTTCCTTATTGGTGAAACAGCTGCCTCTGCCCTCCTCCCCATAAACAGTCCCACTTCACGGCTTCCTTTTTGCTCATTCCTCTCATACATCTGGGCCTCCTAAACAAACTGAAGATTTAACTGAGCAAAATATTGATCTGACATATTTATACAAATTCATTTTTCCATATTTCCATTATGAAACATGTAGAGGACAGTTTACAGAAGGTGCCAGTCTTTATTTTCAAACCAGCAACTGATACCTGTTCCACCCATGACAGCTACCAGCTCATTTAAAGATTTATCAGTTTCCAGCACTCAGTGCACAAGTCTAGCTCCCCTTAGTAGGACACAAGTAGCAACACAATTGTTCAATAGTAGTTAGTTTCTTAAACTATTTTCTCTCATGACCTCTTTCCACTTTTAAGAATAACTGAGGTCCCCCCAATAGTTTTTGTATCTTTGCATTTACTGTATTGACGATTTAAAATGTGCTGCTACCTCTTCTCACAATTGTTGGATGGAGTTTTAACATATTGTGATAAACACATGCTGGCTTCCAAGCACCCAAATTTTGATCATATGGCCATGGGGATGCTGAATTGGTCATAAGTGTAAAAAACAGTTACAAGTCACTTTTTTCAATGCCATTGTAACTTCAGTCACTAAACAAATGGTTGTAAGTTAGGAACTATTTGTACACCTGGGTTACAATTATTACCTTTATTGTCCGAGCACAACATGTGTACAATGAGATTGGCTGAGCCTCCCTTCGTGCACTCCCTCCCAACACAATTCACAGTGAGGAAGAAGTCCCTAACCCAATCCCAATCTTATTACACTATGTAACCTTGTTGCACAATGCGCCAGCCCTGCAAGTCTATCATACTATGTTGGTGTACACTGTAATGTGCTCTGCTTGGTGTGACCTTTGAAGATGATCCAGAAAATACAACTAGTCCAAAATGTCATATATTGGAGCAGCTGTATTCCTATAAAATCTTTTAGGGTGCCATTCAAATTTTTAACTTGCATTCCCTATACACCTGGGCCCTCAGCTTTGTGAGGTAACTCCAAATGCTATTTGTGTCACAATTTCTTTATTGTGGAACAATCTTCCTCTTAAAATCAGCTTAGTGTTTTCCCTGTTGTCTTTCCAGAAAACACCGTGTTTCTCATATAATAAGGCCGGGTCTTGTTTTTGTTTGAGCCCCGAAAAAATGGCTAGGACGTCTTTTCGGAGGTGACTTAATTCCCCCCCCCCCTTGCATCTTCGGGTGGGCGGGCGGCGACGGCTTGGATGTTGACCTCGGCGTTGGTGGGGCACTTCGTATCGGGGTCAACGCAGGCAGCACCATATGTGTAACAAAAGTACTTCCTAACGGCAAGCCCCCCCCCCCACCATTCCCCCTCATTTTGCATGTTTTAATATAGGCCTTAATTTGGGGGGAGGGGCTTAATTTCATTTCATGCCTATAAAACATGCTGGGACTTCCTATTGGGGGAGGCCGTATTGTTCGAGAAACGGTAGTAAAAAGGAAACTGTCCCGAAAGGTACTTGGGGATTGAGGAAAGTTGCCACTTTTTAAACTCTTATTTTATGCCATTTTGATTTTAAATAGGTTTAGCGTGAATTATATATTGGAAATCAACATAAGATTATGGCAGGATAAAGTGCAATGAAGAAATGTTTAGATCAATCAATACATACTATAAGAGGAGATGTCTATCTCTTCCGGGAGTTCAGCCACATTGACCTCAAAGCGATCCTGTACTTCATTGAGGATTTTGGCATCAACTTCATCTGACACAAAGGTAATCGCCAAGCCTTTCGTACCAAAACGCCCAGCCCGGGCCACCTGCAGAGAGAAAGGTCTATCAAGGATCAAAAGAAGCCCTTCCCCAAACTGAATCCATACGTCAGAGGGATAAATCATTTACGTGCTCAATTAAAATCAGGCAAACCTCATTTAAGAATTATCAGAAACATCAAAACCAAAAAGAGGCTGGGAATCCATGAAAGAGTGGTCAGAAGCTATCCAGGATTTGCAAGCCACCAGCTCCTTACCGCAAGTGGCAAGGTATCGGAAGAGAAGGCAACTCAAATTTGCACACACACTCACCCTGTGTAAATAGGTGTCAGAATCCTCAGGCATATCATAGTTGAAAACTATGTTGACTCGCTCTATGTCCATCCCACGGCCAAACAGATTAGTGGCCACCAAGATACGACGCTGGAAGTCTTTGAACTGTTGATACCGAGAGAGCCTGCAAAAAAAAAAGTTACTTTCTTGAATTACATGGTTCTTCTCTAGGGTTGAGTATGATTCTTAGGCCCAAAGGACTTAGAACTTGTTACCATGTTTCCCCCAAAATAAGACTGTGTCTTATATTAATTTTTGCTCCAAAAGGTGCATTAAGTCTTATTTTCAGGGAAATACGGTACTAAATTCACTCATTTAGCTGACCATCTTAACTGGGGCTTATTTTGGGGGTAGGGTTTATGAGCATCCTGAAAAGTCATGCTAGGGCTTATTTTCCAGTTGGGGTCTTATTTTTAGGGAAACATGGTAGTACAATACTTGATATTTTTTTTAACCATCAAGACATTAATTGTGCCCCATATTCCATTCTCAAAAGCATAGATACTCCACTCGATGTTCAGGTTTCATAGTCTGATGCTGCTCACCTCTCTTCCTGAGACATGCCTCTGTGTATAGCAATAGCTGGGAAGTTCTGTTCAACCAGAAGTTGGGCTAATGCCATGCAGCGCTGCACAGACTTTACAAATATCACAACCTGCAGGAATGGGAAGACACAAAACAGAATTGATCTGGAAGCCCTACAAATTCCCATCAGCCTTCAGCTCCCATTGCGACCAACTTCAAGAGGTGGGATACCGCTTACAAGCCATGGTTGCCAATCCTTTTATACAGACCTGATTGAACTCCAGTACATCCAGCAAATCAAAAAGTTTGCGATTTTTCTCTGTGTCCTTCAGCTTTACATAGTATTGCTGCAGACCATGTAGAGTCAGCTTTGTTTCATCATCTACAAATACCTCCATGGGCTGTAAGTAGTGAACAATTAATTATAGCAAAATCCTCTCATGTGCATACATATACACATGCTGTACATTCATGATTAAGTATTAATGTAAAAATATAAACATTCTGAAATCTACAAAAATAACCTTTGTTCCTACATCTGGCACGTATGATGAAGTAAGTCTTAACTCACAAAAATGTATCCCTTTTAATAAAATGTGTTAGTTGAAGAAGGTACTCTTGGACATCTTCTGATTTTTGCCACCATAGAAAACATGGCCCTCCTCTATTTTATTCCTAGTACTACTATGAACACGATGGTCTACACCAGTGGTCCCCATCCTTTGCAGTTTGGCAGACTGGCTTTTTTGGGGGGGGGGGAGATAGGGGAACTGGGCCATGCAAGTGGCAGGCTGGCGCACAAACACAGCTCAACATATAAAAATGGCAGGCTGGCATGTGCATGTTTGCATGCCAATCCACCGTTCACACGGTCCCATTTTGAATAGGTCCTGGCCCAATAATGGGATGTGGCCTGGGGGTTGGAGACCCCTGGTCTAGAAATAGTTACAGCATTATTCCTTTTGCAGGATTGTACAACAACTCAACTTCAAAAAATCCATCTGCCAAAGAATGTATACAGATTTCTCAGTAATGTCGTGACAGGCTCTTAACTTAAAGGGCATTTACCATTGGGGTCCAAAAGAATCTTTTCCAACTAAATAAATGAACTGGGCAGAATGCATCAGCGGGTATTACCTTTTATGACACCCATCGTGTAGTGATTGAAATCAGTTCTCTTAAACTGCACCTGAATCTGTGCTAGTGGCAGGATAGTTACAATAATATATCCTCACTTTTCCTACGCCTTAAGCAGCTAGCCACTTTCTCTTTGCCTGGCTGTATCTCTCAGACTGTAACCCTCAGGGCAAAGTCTGCCCTGTGATTTTATTGAATTGTAAACTGCTCTGGGCTCTTTCACTTAAAGAGCACAGCACAATCTTCCAACTGAGGACTTCTTTCTAGTGTATCTAATGTTGCTAGGAGGAGGGCATACATGATGACAAATGTATAACAATATAATTATGCAAATTCTGCAATTTACGTACTTCAATCAGATGCCCTGATTTATAATTGTGGTATTTGCATGATTAAGCCACTGACATTTGCTGCTCTCAAGTACCCGCAATCTGCTTCAACCCTCCCCCCCTCATCCCAAACAGGATGTTGAGAAGGAACACAAAATTGCCTCAGTAGATTCTCTTTTGTCTACTTTGTGTATATGTTGCATGCATTGCCCCTATTTGGGAGGCAAAAGATGACACTTAGCACTTACATCCTGCATGAACTTCCTGCAGACAGGCCGGATCTCCTTACTCAAGGTGGCACTAAACATCATGCACTGCTTTTCAGGGGGAGTCAATCGAAAGATTTCCTGTACATCACGGCGCATGTCTAAAAGAAACATGGATAAAAATAAAGAGTTCCCAATAAAAGCAGATTTGAAGCTCAAAGATTGATTACCTCAACCACTCCTGTCACTATTTCTCACCCTCACCCTTTTATTGTAGTGGCCGAGAAAACAGAGACACATTAGAGCTCTAACAATTTCTGCAGGGAGCTTTCTCAACTCATCTTGCCACTTCTGATTACAACAAGTGACTTCTTTCTTTATACCTTTCCATATAAAATTATCAGCTATAGTACAAAAATAAGCAAAACGGTACCAAAAATAATTCCCCATCCACCTCTGTTCATCGTTGTGATTTTTACAAAAGCATTTCAAACAACAAGCACTTGACATCTTTATTCTTCAAAATGCCACTGGGCGACATGTAACTAGTCATAATGTGATTAGAGGCTAATGCTCAGCTTTCATGTGCTCCCAACTATTCTTTCTTCTCAAAGGAAAAAAAGGAACAGATGCAAAAAGAGAACGAGAGGAAAATGAGCTGGGTTGGGGTTGCAACAGAAAACCATGGAAGCCTTCAGCTGACCAGTAGGAGGGTTTGGAAAAAGATAGGTAGGAGTTGAATCTCAAGTGGTCTGCCAAATAAGACAAGGAAATAGAGAAGACTACAAAAAGTATAGAAAAAAAGGAAAGGCAACTCAGTGAAGGAAAGTACGGAATGGATGTGAAAATAAATCTCAGGAGGAAGTGAGAAAGAAAGGCATGTTCTTGGATAATGGAAGTCTTTGAGAAGAAAAGCATCTGGGGAGAATAAGCCCAAAGGACAGTTGAAACAAACAGAGTTTCTTTTCTAAGGCTCTGTATTCCACCTCTTGGATAGGCTGTGTGTGTTTCAGCAGTACTAGCAAACATTTCTGTGAAAGTTTATGAGTAGCTATATGCACCATAGTAGACATCTTGTGAGTGGGCACCCTCTTTTCTTTGATTACTATATAGCCGATAAAGGTTTCCCTTCAGGTGTGTTTAAATGCCACATAGATCAGCTCAAAATTTCATCTCAGCATATATGAGATCCTTAACCTAGCATCTTTTGTACATTTTGGGTTACAACTCTTCGAGAACTGCATTACAAATGCTAACTTTAATGCTTGTCATGTTTAGCAATGTAATTGAATCCTTGAAGGACATCTGATTGCACGTAGATGATTTATGACTTGTACCTGCACACAAAGCTGCCTGTTCCTAGGTTGCACAAAAGAATTAAGCCATTGTTTGTCTGCTTGGACAAACTGGCTGATTGCATTTTATAGATAAGGATATTCTGACAGCACAGCAAAAACTAACTCCCACTTGCAACAGTAATATGAAAAATGTTTCCAGTTTGAAGAATTTTGAATTCAAAACAACCCCTTTTCAGAGTTTGATGGAACATAACTTCACCCAATGTGTTGGGCGCTGCTCAGACCATTCCAAAAGTATTCCAAGCCGAAGGTATTCCAAACAGTGTGTGTTCTGTATGCTTTTTATGTTATGTCAAAAGTAAGGACAACTTTGCAGGCATTTCTATTTCACTGCTACTTTGTCATAAAGCCCCCTCTTCAGGGCAAGTGATAGGTTTCTTTTTGAAAGGTGTCTAAAATGTATCAGAAAAAGCTGAGCAATTCAGAAATATCACCAATCCCCCCCCTCAAGTGTTTGCACTTTAATTCTACCTCAATTGATTTAAAGTCAGTTTTTAGGTTTTGCCTGAAGATGATTTGCACCCTCACTGTACAAACTAACAGCCTCTCCTCTTCTATTTGAAAAGCAATAGGGAGTTACTGACACACTCGTTTAAAAGAGCTTTACTTTGGTACAGCAGGCAATGCACGCTTCCAAGATAATTTGGAAGACATGCTTCAGACATCATGCAAGCATAGCAGCTTGCTTTTTAAAAAACAGCTCACTTCTATGAACACCTGAAAATAGCTAAATGTTGCATTAAATGGAGTCATTAAAGGAGCACTATTTCAGGTTTTCCTAATGTCTGAAAAGGTCTGACTGTTTACTGAATAATAAACAGGTGTTCTGTTCAAATGAAGTTTGAATCATACACACCAAATCTCTAACTAGTGTCTTATTCTGTTATTTGGGCATCAGGCCATTTTCCTACAATGGATCAAAAATTCTACACTCTATAAACAATTCCAGTTTTATTTAGACTTCTCCAGCCTACACCCCCTCCCTTTTCCCAGGTTCTCTTACCTAGCTGCTCAAGCATCTTGTCACACTCATCCAACACAAAATGCTTCACATTGCGCAGGTTGAGTGCCTTGTTGCGTACCAATGCTAGAGTACGCCCTGGGGTTCCCACAACAATATGCGGACAGTTTTTCCTAAGTACCTCTTCATCTTTCTTGATAGAAAGCCCCCCAAAGAAAACTGACACCTGCAGGAGAATCAAAAATCACTCAAATTACTCCACAATACATTATTTACACAATGCAGTAAATAACATTCAAACACAGCCACTTTGGTGTAGCAATAAGGTACCAGGCTAGAAACCAGATGACCATGATTTCTAGTCCCATCTTAGGCACAAAGCCACATCGGTGACTTTGGGCCAGTCACTCTCTCAGCTGTGGAAAGGAAGCAACACCAAACCACTTCTGAAAAATGTAGTTAATAAAAAGTCCAGGGACTAATTTAGGCAGTCAGCAGGAATCAACAATAAGTGAAAGGTACAGATGCACAAAGACACACAAAGAAATACTTGAAAGTTAGGATTCATACTAGTTATCTTCTTTCTTGGTCAGCTTGAAACAATAAACAGGCACAAGAAGACAAAGATGAGCTTTTATACAATACTAGACAACCCTGTGATCTGTTGGATCACTCTTTTAACGGAATGGTAGTAGAACCAGATGTGAATTTCTAGAGATTAAAAAAATACTAAAGATTCTAAATATTTTGAAACCCAAAGCAAAACTTTACCCTCACCTTGACATTGGTCATATACTTTGAGAAGCGTTCATATTCTTTACTGATCTGGAATGCCAGTTCCCGGGTATGACACATCACTAGCACTGAGACCTAGCAGAATTAAAAGAAATATTGATACAAAGGCATCAAGGAGGGTTCTTTAGTGGTTTGGATGGAGAGGAGCTATCCTCAATTCAATCCTACCCAAAGAGAATGGTTATAGATGCCTGAATTATCCAAGACTGAAGATATTCCATCTTTGACCTTGGATGGAATTGCACTTCTCCTTTCAAGGTTGGCACAGATGTGAGGTCTTCCTGGGTTCAGTCCCTGCTATAGCTATAGCCAGGAAAGCCTTAGAAACTGTCTCTAGCGAGACAGTTGTGTGTTTTCCTAGATCAAGGGGCCTTTCAGACAGTTGCTCATGCCCATGTCACCTCATGGCTTGAGTATTATAGTGCTCTCTACATAGGGCTACCCTTGAACACCAACCAGAAGCTTCAGATTGTTGTGACAAAAGCAATACTGCAAGCCCAAGGTATGCCAATGTAACATCTCTGCCTCTCAAGCTGCACTGGTTGATAATTTACTTCCAGGTGTGTTTCAAGGAACTGGTTGTACCTACAAGGTCCTACATGACATAATGCCTGGTTATTTGAAGGACCACTTATCTCTTATAACATCTACCTGGCTGATTAGATCTTCAGTTCCATGCTCCAGTTCCTTTTATGTTTTATTGTAATTTCTTTGACTATAGTGAGTCATCAAAGCCATTGAATATTAGGTGAAATACAAGTTTAATAAATTATTACATGATGAATCAAAGTCTCTGCTTGACTATGAAATAACATTTTGCAACAGCAGACATATGGTTGAAAGCATCTGGAAGTCTTAACAGTGTAATTAAAGACTTATTCCCTTTAAATGTGGAAAAAATTCATGTTAAGAGGTGAGGTTCAATAGAACCCTCATACACACACCTCAGGGATAAAAAATACTAAAACACCTCAAATGGAACCCGACTCTTTATGAATTGGAATTGCTAAGAAAGGGCACACTGAAGCTAATTCAACTGCTTGTCAAGGAACCAAAAGCAGCATCTCCATTAATTTTTGTTCCTTTTGGTGTCCATACCCAGAATCATTGCTAAAGAAATCGTGGAAGCAGCTGAATCACATTTACAAGACTCCTACCATCTTCTTATGGTATTTAGCTTTCTATTAACAAACTCTTTCCAACATCCTTTACATACCTGCCCATCCAGTGGCTCAATCTGCTGCAGAGTAGCCAATACAAAAACAGCAGTTTTGCCCATGCCCGATTTGGCTTGACATAGTACATCCATGCCTAGAATTGCCTGAGGAATGCATTCATGTTGTACTGATAGGGGAAGAAGAAATAATTACACAAGAGTCACTGGGGATATGAAAATATTTCATTTCTATGTAGATCTCCAGAAAGCCTTGATCCCAGCTTCTCTTCTTTCGTATTCTATCCTTGGACATTAAGTATCCTACATACATATCTCATAAGAAAATAATACTGTTTTCCGACCACTGGCATTTAATCCATGCATCACTTTGAATTACAAGACATATATAACAGATCATAAGGAACTTTGATGTGGATTAGCCATTCCATAATAGACTTTTACTGCAAGTCCCTAACCTTTTTCCTTAAATACAAGATCCTACTCCACAGCATAAAGGGAGCTCAGGCACTAACAGGATTTCAGTTAGTCGGCTGAAAAATTATGTCTCTTATGCCAGACTGAACTTAGAACTTGCATCAAAGATGATATAGTTTTGTGAAATTTATTTGATCTCTTTCAGAATTCCTAAAGTGTGTGATTACTTTTTTAAACATATATTAAATAACATGTAAAATATGTTAATAAGAAACAGGCACTCTCTTTATATATTGGTGGGTCCCACAATGAAGTTCCGGTAACATTCTAAGATATATAAATTTAAAAAATTAAAAAAAATACTTTCTCACAGAATTGTAACAATCTCCAATATGAAATTTTATTCGGTGGGGAGCTCAACCCCACCGGATCATCATCATAGTGCCTGCACTAGACTCAATATCGATAACAATTAAAACCAAACCATCCCACCCCTGCTCCCTGGAGCCCCCAGCTCTCACCCTGCACCGCGTAGCACCACTGGCAGTTGCTTCCCGGTGGGTGAACTGGGCTGATTGATGAGGGGGGCCAAGGGCCTTGGCTCAGCTCCTACCTTCTGATGGATGTTCAAAGCCACAATCCACAATGGCACGAAGTAATTCTGGCTTCATCAGGAAATCTCGGAAGCCAGAACTATGAATGGAGACATAAGACCCCTTCACATCCTTTTTAGCAAGAGGAAGAGTTGCATCTGTCACTCCCTGAGGCTCTTCATCGTCTTCATAATCCAGCAACTCATTCTCCACATCCTGCTCAGCCATATCCTTCAGGGAAAGCAAAAAGCACAGAACTTCTGCAATACATTGATGGATGACAGCTAAATCTAGGATGAGGGAGACCAAAACTAAAATGGAACTACAGATACACTTGGAGGTAGTGATATAAACTCTAGCTTGAAGTTATTTATATCCATCAATTCTGAGCAAATCCTACTGATAGAGCTTAACTAACTTCCCAACATCTTGAAGATGTAATTTTTTAAACAACTTGTGAGCCTAAGATCAGCATCACTCATTTTTCCATCCTCAGCTCCAGTATTATTTTTCAAGTCAGATGCCATTTTTTAAAAAGCTACATGTGATATTGTAGGTCTTCTTCACATACACGCTACCAAAACAATGTTACCATGTATTTATTATAGTAGATATGTCCTTTCCCCTTTAAAACAAACTTTTCATGTCATAGAAGTTGTTGTAAAAATAATCCAAAATAGAGGGCAAGGAATTGACAACATTCTGACTAAGTGATTTGGCCTTCTCATCAGGCCACAAAATGTATTAAGAACATTTCTTATCTTTCAAACAAGTCTTCAATGATCTATGATAAAATTATAGTGCTGAAGTTGTAATCTCATCCCTGCTATACTAACTGCATTTATAAAGGTAGACATCAATCTCTTTTCATATACTTTTATCCATCATTCTTCATGGATTTTCAAAGAATGCTATGCAAACATTGCCTGTTTTAGAACAGTCTGTATTTAAATCAAGGATAAAAATATTGTCCTCCTGTATTTACTTGTTCCTCATTAATCTTAGGGAAATTCATTTTCAGTGTTAATTCTTTTAATTAATATTTCATCTGTCAAGGAACAGAAAAATTAGTTAAGTCACAGATCAATGATGAGTCTTCCATCAATCCTATAGAGAAAGGGCTAGGTAATTTGCTCATCATTCAAGAGGACTTTTACTTAAAGTCTCCATTAAGAAATACAAATGTTAACTGACAGCAAGTCTTAATGGCTGATCCCCAATTTTAACCCACTCTTTCACATGGAGCTAAGACAGCCTATCAGCTAATTTCCACAGGCTTTATTTATAGTTACCATTAGTATCCATTAATGCAGAGCCATTTTGGCGTAGTGATTAAAGCCATCAGACTAAAAACCAGAAGATTGTGCATTCCAGTAGTTTTGGCCAGGAAACCAACTGGGTGACATTGGGCTAGATTCTCCCTCAGCCCTAGGAGAAAGGCAATGGAAAATCACTTCCAAAAATGTTGCCAAGAGAACTTCATGAACTTGTTCATTCTGGTCAGTAAGAGTTGTAACTGACTCAGGCGTGCACCCACACATACAAACTGAAGTAGACAGGATTAAACAAAACTGCATTTAAAACAATGGTTCATAATGTGGTAATATATTCTTTGTTACATCTCCTGCCCTCAGGAATGAGCATCTCCTAGACTAGAGGTTCATGTGGCTCTCTTCCCTTATGTCCTTTAGGAAATTGCCTGCTCTCCCAAAAGGGGACACAGAAGTCCTTCTTCTGTTTTGATTTGGTTTGGTTAGCTTGCTCTTCCAGTCATATTTTCTGTATGTTGGGATTTTTAGTTGTAAACCACCCAGAATAATTTGGGAGTTAGGTAGCCTATAAAGATACTTCTGACTTCCCTAACCCAAAGACCTCCTAATATACTAGTTGGTACATTGGGACTTGGCATGGAGAAGACAAACCCAGAGGCCCTAAGCACAAGTGAGTGAATTATATGAAACAGCCTTTTGTTTGTTTGTTTGTTTGAGGCAAAACAGCGTAGTGGTCAAGATGCAGAGAAAACCTAGGTCCAAATTCACCACCACCATTTGTGGGTGACTCTAGGCCAGGGGTCTCCAACCTTGGCAACTTTAAGACTTGTGGACTTCAACTCCCAGAGTTCCTCAGCCAGCTTTGCTGGCTGAGGAACTCTG